AGGTATTGGCCCAATATCACAGGGCCCATAATATGCATCCGCCACTAATTATACTAAAGCGTAGAGTCTCTCAAAGGTTCCTGATTGTATATTCATAATCCTGCAGGTCAGAACTCTGAACAGACTGGAGGAGAAGGACGTCCTAATTGCCCTGTTAAGATATTTGGGACTTTAACGGTGCGTCCTGGTGCCAATATAGTGGTCTATATAAATGTTCATATGCTTAATCACACAGTCTATATAATAGCCATTTGTGATAGTATGTGCCACTGCCTTCCTAATAATTGCACGGGGAGGGAAGGGCTAAAGACACCGTCCTCTAAGTGCCCTTTCACCCTAGACTTTGTAAGCTGCACTTATTAAAGCGAAAAGTGTTTCAATATGTGGTAAGCTTGAGGGGAAAACGTGATGGGGGTTGGGATGGGGCCCTGTTCTTCTTGCTGCCCGGCTCCTTTTGGAGTAATCCATCCATGGTAGCAGTAGTTCAGTGGTGTAATTTCCATCTGTTGATGTTGTTAATGTACGGACAGAGGTAATTAAAACGTAGCTGTATCTAATAACTCTTACTACGCTAGAAGAAAAAAAAGGCTTCTCTCCGAATGAATCAAGGGATTATGTGTGCAGTCAGACATACAGGGGGCCATTAAGCAAATTTGACTTTCCCCTTTATTTTGCTGGAAGTGGTAACCCATGAGTGCCCTGAAGTGGAAGTTCACAAAACCCGCGGAACTTTGTGGATGTTTGCGTCAACACAGGCCTGTCGTGTCAAGTGTGGGGCCACAAGTGATGTCTTGATGACAATAAGAATAAAAAAAACAGTTGTTTTGTCTCGATAACCATGAATTAAGTCAACATATCAAGTGAAAAACGAAATAGTAGTTGTCTTATTGTTATTTCTGTCTGATTTCCTTTTTCAGGGCCCACTGGACACCGAGCACCCCTGGGCCTGTCTGTAGACATGTTTCAGACTGTCCCTGACACGTCGTCTTACGTCAAGGTAAGACACCACCGTCTCTACCAGGTAACGTTGCAAGGGCTAACTGTAGTCTTCCTTTCTTTTCCTTTCTTTTCTTTTCTTTTCTTTTCTGTTTAACTCAGTCTGTGACGATAAACCACATTTCCTTAAATTGTCTAGAAAGTAAAAAACAAAAACAAAAAACATGAGGCTACTTATTTCATCCTAGTCTAAAACTGGATGTTACACATCAGTCTTTATATTTAACATATGATCGTAATTTAAAAAGACGTGTTTTTTTTCCACATTTGAATTCAACACCTGTACATAAACCTTGTCTACGGTCCAAAATGCTTCTGTTATTGTTCGTTATCGTATTTGACGTCACTCCCCCTTCTCTCTCTCTCTCTCTCTCTCTCTCTCTCTCTCTCTCTCTCTCTCTCCGCCCTAGCCCTGACTGTGTAAATAAAGCAAACAGTGCACATCTGGTTTTCACATAAAAAAAAAAAAAAGCATCATGCTCATATGGCGCAGCATGAATACCTGCAACTGCTACATACGCTACCTGAGACACTGGAACCATTTAAAACACATCTTGTATAATTGTATATGACCATATAATATCCACATAATGCCAAGTTCTGCGTGCACTTTGCTCGCAGTTGTGTCAGTTCATTTGGCTGGCTCCTTGACGTTTGCTCACTTCGGGCAGAATATTGCTGAGGGGTGACTGCTCGGATTGTGCCTCATTAAAATGGACCATTGTGCAGCAGCGAGCTATGCTAATATCTTCATAATCAAGGTATTTTCCAAGGGAGACTTTGCTAATGTTTTGAAGACTTATTCCCCCTTGAATAAAGGCTCTTTTCATCCAGCTGCAGCGTTTGTGCCACTGCAGAGAGACTCCTTTTTCAGTGCTCGGAACAATTCCTGATTTGTTGTGAGAGAGTTGAATAGCTGGGAAGGATTAAACGTGAAAATGTTTCTTTTTAAAAGAGTATTTTTGCCCCTTGAAAATAGGCAATAGGTCAATGAGGGACAAAAAGGGTGTTGGTTTAGGTTTAAAAGGCCATTTAAGGAAAGTATCCTTAATTTTTAGATCATATATGCTGTGCTGTGGAAACAAAGCCTCCATTATCTCTGTTTGATCTGATTCCAACAATGTTTTGTTTTTATTATTATCATTCTGCCCAGACTTTGCGTGTCGTTTTTGCGTGTAAAGTGCCTCGCTCTGTGGCTCACTCACATTCAGGAGATATTGGTCAGAATGTGGCACGCCTCAATACAACATTTTAAAAGAAATACTCCTCATTCGAGCGAATCCACGGCCCAGATTTGTGGTTTTGTTTGGTTAAGGCCAGGCGAGACTGGAACTCTCCAATAAAAATAAATCTCAAATTAATTATGGCCTAGAGCGAGGGGCCAGACAGTTCGTGCTTATGTGAGCTGCAGACTCCACGCTTTGCCCTCAGTATTTTGACTCGGACTGCCTTCTACCCCGGGAGAAGGAATGATCTGAATACAAGTCTGCAGTCTAATAAACAGCCAGTTCTGTAGGCTCATATTGAAAAGCGACTATTTCTTGAGTAGAATAACAACCAAACCAAATAGCTCCCCACACAAGTCATTATTTTTGATCACTTTCTTCCCGCGGAGCTGCTGGCCTTAGGTGCAGCCTTATGTGTTCCACCAACAACACTGGGAAAAAAAACACGATAATTATTGGACTACAAAGCAGTAGAAAACAATTAAGATAATTTAGATCAGGACACCTCAACAGGCATATTGACTTTGAAACAGGAAACACAGTTTAGAAACAATTACCAGAGTTGTTCTCCAAAGACGGTCTTAAAAAAGGAGCTTGATTGAAGTTACCCCTTAACATTTACTAATTTCTTTATACCTCCAGTTTCTCTGATAGTTTCGTATTTTAAAGCCTATATGACAAATAAAAACCTTTATTTTCACGCTCTGTCATTTCAGCGTGTGACCAATTGCCATACACTAAATCTTAGTCGATCTTCATAGAAGCCAAAAAGGAAAGCAAAAGCCAAACAATTGAGAGACTGCTGAACATAAACTGTGCATAGTGTCCGCCCACCCCTGGCTGGTTGCCCCATGCAGTGGAGAGACAGAGGAGCTACTGGCTCATGGTGTAAGGGAGAAATGTCTGGCTGTCTAGTTCCAGCGTGGAGCCAGATGTTTTGTGGTTCCCTGTGTAAACCAACTTGCATCTGTTTATTGGCCTTCCAAAATGTTTGTTACCACTGTATTCATTATGGGCTTGGTAGGTCCTGGACCCCCAGCCACCCTGATGATTTCTATGGCATGGATGGAAGGTATTCTAATACAAGGAGAGAGTGATCTTGTTGGTTGGATATTTTATTTTATTCTAGAAAATTAGCTACTTTTGGACTAAATATAGGCTTACAGGTTGAGAAGAAGAAGAAGCTCACACTTGTTTAAAAATATAAATCCAAAGCGGCACACCACAGTGCAAAGTGGTCATATGGTGAGTCATATCTTAAGCAGCTCTTTAATTTGTCACTTTCTCACAAGCCTCCCTGCAATGAAATGCCTTAATGGAAAACCTGGAGTCAAGAATGTATAGAAAAACAAAACAAAAGCAACAATACAAATCAGAACACTCACCAGTCACTAAAGAGTTAAACAAGGTGTCTCCCTTAATTACACAAGTCTGAACTGGCCTCAGGCAGGAGAAGCCTTGACCCTTAGCAGGATCCAGATGTGGTGGTCCCAAGGGTAGGGGCCCTCAGCCCCACCAGACCCCCAAGTCGAGAGCAGACAGGCCGGCCCTGCTTGTCAGTCGCTGCGGCGGCGCGCTCTGAGGCCGCTCCCCGAGGCAGAACCCCAACACTGCAAAAAATGTTCTCCAGCTTCACCTCGACTAAATCGCAGTGTGTTGTTTAACATACTTTAAGTGCAATATGGATCTTTTTTTTTCATTTTTTGTTATTGTTGACAGTGTTGAAATAAAGCTTGCACCCTGCTTGTTATTAACCCTCTCAAGCCAAATTAAGATAATCTGGGATAAAGTGTATTTTTCTTTGTCTATACATTTGAGTTGCTTATTGTTAGTTATAAATTAGTTTCGTTTATCTTTCTAGCGCTTTTAAAAAAAAATGTTAAATGTGACAATAAATCTGTGAAAACAGACTCTTCTTGCAGTGTTATTGGTCTGGTCACGTTCAGAGCCGGCTCCATGTCTAGCATCTGCACTAAAATTATGCTGGAATTGATGAGAGTAATTTCATAGAGCAGACGAAAAGAAAAAAAAATCCTATTCGTGGGGGTGGGGATTACGGGATTTCTCTCTCTAAATTCAGGGGAATAGGGAATGACATCGAATATCTAAAGTCAACTTAAATATATCTATTATTGTGTTATGAGCAACAATAATAATCCACACTGTGTCGTTTTTCTGTTGACGCAGGCTGCGTTTCATTCAGTGCTGTGCTGAACAGCAGACGCACACGTGTAGCGCAGACCCGCAGACTGGAGTGCGGTCAGGAGCTGAATGCTTGGATTTTATTAATGGTGTTTCAGGAAAACTTCACAGAAGCTTCACGGAAGGCTGTAAGGGAAAAAAAAAAGACAAGGTTGCAACTCTTGTAGGTGTTCAGGTTACTCTCCTGTTTTGATTTAGAGCCCTTCAGCGGCATGTCTGAGAAACATCTGTCCAAAATCAAAGATCAACTTTATTCAATGTATCACTTTCACTATGAAATATAGGATAAAACAGAGAATGGGCAGATTTATATGAGGATGGAGGCATGGCCAGATGAGAGTCCGAAGTGTAGGCGTGAACAGAAAGTGCTCAAACACACAAGATCACAAAAACCGCGACAGAAAACCGCATTCCCTAAAACCTCTGTGAAATGCAGAAATAAGTCACAAGTCGGACAAATAGTAAACGCTTCCACCACTAGCCGTGATTTAACTGAGAAGCAAACAACACAGCCCCTTTTTTTTTTTTCCTTTTTTTTTTTTTTTTTACAGCAGGCTAAACAGCAATGGCTGTGCACAACGCAGGCAGTCATCCTGTAAATATTTCCGAGCAGAAAAACATAACAGCGGAGCGAACACTCAATTGTTTTCCCTGCTTATCTCTCTGGGACAGTATCCTGCTTTTTTGAAGGCAGGGCTTTCGGTGACACACAGCTTCCTCCTCAACCTTCTCAACAGCGGTGACTTCACTTCCCAAATTTAGAGGAAAGAAAAAACTCAATCCGGCAAAAGTGTCTCTTTCTCTCCGCCACATACCGGGGGCTGGAATTAACACAGAAGAGTGTCATGTTCGGGATATTGTCGGGGTCCGCTGAAAATTGCGCAAAATGGACGGAACTATTAAGGTAAGGGTGGAGAACGGGGTGTATGAGTTTGTGGGAGACTTCTTTTTCGGAGTTGCGCCTCCTTTTTTTAAAGCAATGGGTTGAAATGCGCCTCTGTGTGGGTCTGTGAGCGGGGACCTTCAATCTGACGACGATGAGCGGCTGTTCTGTCTCAGCCTGAATGCGGTAACGAGATATTCTTACTTTTTCCTCTCCCCCCCCCCCCTGTCATTTTTTTAAATATCTGACTGGTTGTAAGAATACGCTACGGGTTTGGATTCAAACCAGAGTCACGCTTTGGACTTGGGGACCAAGCGCACAATTACGCACGTCTGGAAGGACGAAAGGAGTGAATATGCGTTTCAGACAACACATTGTAGACTGACTTCAGTGTCGGTGCACGTTTTCGTTACGAATTCGGTGATTAATGTTTGTCTGACAAGCGGGCATTAAGCAATAGCCATGACTGGATGTACGCTGGACACGATGTGTCGAGCTGCGCAACGGCGGTGTGGCACATCGCCCGGCTCGGTCAGAAGATCCTGTCCTGGGTCAAAAAAACATGTGATGTTTTGGTAAATGGTTTATAAGTAATGTCCTTGTCTTTGTTGCTGTTGGTTATTGTAACCTTTCTTCCTCCGGAGTAACAGAGAGTTTTGTTGAAGTGTAAGGAAAGCTGTCATTTGGTAACTTCACGGGGTAACTGCTCCGTTTGCAAAACTTGAAAACCACAAGGCTTCACAATGATACCTTGGCTTGCTCCTCATATATAGTTACACAACTATTTTGAAATGGCATGTTTGAAGTCTAGAGCTAGGGTGTACTCTTAACACCAGCTACTAGCCCCGACAGTCAAAATTCCAGATGCATTATGGCTGCGGTCACCAGATGTTGAATGGCAAGTCCCGATTAGTTCGTCCTGCGATGCTTCAGTCTGTGTCCTCCGGGTAGAGAGCGGGAGCTAAGCAGGCTGCAGCATCTGCATTTTACTCTCATTGTTGCTGAAAAGTAAAGCGACTTGTTTTCTGTTGGAAACTTAAAGTATTGGGTTTGCGGCGGCTGGGTGTGGTGTGAGTTTTGGATGAGTGTAAACGTTGGCCAGACAAGAATGTCAGACTGCATATAGTCACTTAAATGTCGTTATGTGCCGCTCAGAACCCTGTGGTTGTTTTCTTGTGTATCAGGAGTGAATGTCATGCTGCAGAAGGACATGAATGTCTCCACCTTAGATGATTATAACAAAGCAGGAGGTTGTTACAATTCAATCATAATTGAATCCTCGGGTATAAATGACGGGCTACTTGTTGCATTCATGATCGCTCAAAAAGAAAGGAAGGGCTCTCTAGCCATGAGAGCTTCCTGTTCTACACAATCTTTTCCTGACAGGTTTCCTCTTCCTCTTTAAACAAAGAGCAGGAATGCCCCCCCTGGGTGGCTCCTGCTAGATGGCTGTGTGTGAACGTCAAACAGTCACACGTGTAGTCTGGATGTAGAGCTATTGCATATATCGCCAGTCTGCTCCAGACGCGTCGTGACGCATTTAGAGAGATGGACATGGCTGATGTAAACAGCACAGAGGTGGCTCCCAGCAGGTGTCACACTCACACAATGCTTCTTATGGTGCCTGCAGTTGAACTTTTTCCACCCTTGTCCATCTGAAGACTTTTAATATGATTAATCGAAAACTGAATTTTGAACTTAATTATTTTTTGAATTTTATTTTTTTGGTACTGATAATCTAAAACAGATGTTCAGTTATTGTCCTTACAAGAAAGTGATTACAAGTGGCACATAACCACTGAGATTATCTTTGGATGCAGTGGGACAGACTGACAGAAAAAAATAGTGTAACCGCTGGTAGCTTTTACTGGCAGCTTGTTCCCCACAGATACTGGAAAGAAAACGTAGGCACTGGTCTGTCAACCTCCCAGTTTGTCTTCATGAGTGTGGTGTGCTCTATTTAAAACAAACATCTGCAATCTTGATGGGCTCCCACCACTTGCCAATCATAGAAACAATTTGCCCAGGCTGATATGTCAGAGTAAATGTAACGTGCACACACTCATACTAGTTGTCCAGGCCCTTATCGAGCTGCAATGAGACATTCCCTCACTCTCCTGTACTTTATCATCCACAGACTAGCTGTTGTGCTCTGCTCAGATAGAGAGTCCCGCCGCCAGTGTTCAGACTATGATGGATCCACTGATGAAATCGGTGGAAAATCTAATTCTGGCGAGATGGTTAAAGAGAGGGTTGGAGAGGGTTCAGCTTTTTTTTCATTAAAACCGTCACTCTGAAGAGTAGTAGCTTATCGAAGGAGGTCAAACTTGTGTCTTGTATTTGATATGCGTTCTAAGTCACATATGACCTGCAGTAAATTGTGGTAATAAAGGACACACAGCGAATGCCTCAAACTGTCACTTTGGTTGTGTTAGGTTGTTTTTTGTAGAGCTGAAATGGTTTCAATATCAACTTTAGAAAAAAATAACAGTCATGATGGCAGCCAATCAACATAGTGCTGGCTTCTTGTAAGACCAAGTTAAAGGCCAAGGAATGCTGTGTTTTGTATGTTTTTTTTCTATTCAAAATGAATATCTGTTTAGTCTTTGTTATTTGAATCCTACTTGTTAAAGGACTCAGATCTCCTTGAACACACAGCATCAGTTACTTTCTTTTCATAGATAAATTAGAGTTATTCAGCTTATCTCGTGTTGTTGGGTTCTTGTGTTTCCAGGGTTCTTATGATGGTTCTTGTGTTTCCTGGGTTCTTATGATGGTTCTTGTGTTTCCTGGGTTCTTATGATGGTTCTGTGTTTCCTGAGTTCTTGTGTTTCCAGGGTTCTTATGATGGTTCTTGTGTTTCCAGGGTTCTTATGATGGTTCTTGTGTTTCCAGGGTTCTTATGATGGTTCTTGTGTTTCCTGGGTTCTTATGATGGTTCTTGTGTTTCCTGGGTTCTTATGATGGTTCTTGTGATGGTCAGGTTATATATGTCTGTTGGGTATCATGCACTATGGGATCTTTTCTGTTGAACTGTATTTAATTATTTTTAGTATTTAGCATTTGTTATGTTCTTGCTGTTGTTTATGTTCTTCTGTGTTTGGTTTAGTTTGTTCTTGTTTTTGCTGTTTGTCAAAGCACTTTGTAAACCTGTGTTTTTAAAAGGTGCTATATAAATAAAGTTATTATTATCTCATAAAATGTAGAAGCAGCTGTACACAACATAAAAGATACCCAGGTACTTGTTTTTTTTTTGTAGTTAAGAAATTTAAGCAGGTTATATTTGTAAATTCAGCATTTTAACAGAGAGAGTTGTGAGAGATCATCCATGCCATTTACAGTTACTGTTGTGTTAGTGTGTGTATTTCATCAACCTCCTCATGTAACAATGACAAAATGTGCTTCAAAAAGGAGACACGTGCAACAGAAAATGGCCTAAGTGAAAACTTTCTACTTGCATGAAAAGTCTCAGCATGGAATGAATTTAAACCTCTGTGGGATCAGGAGGGATTTCGCTTTTCATTTCGCTTTTCATTTTTAGAGAATGCAAAAAAAAAAAGCTACGTGTTGGAAATATCGATCAATGAATATCAAGTAGCATTTTTTCTCCCTCGAGCAGATATGTGGCATTTGGAATGAAATAATTTCAGTCATCCTGGAATTAGACACGTCTCGGTCTAAGCTGTGCCATCAGATCCAGATGTGCATCAGACCCCGATCCTAATCCTCAGCAGAACCATATGACTCCAGTGACTCCACTTTATATTGTGACTTATTGGTTTTTTCTAGTTGTTATAGTTAACAGTCGATTACGCAATTTCTACTAAGTCATCAAGTTATTGTTGGGTATAATCATTCTGTGCCAGCTTTGAGTTGCCTGGCACAGGTCTAAGATGGTGCCATTGCCTAATTCTATTCATTGCGCAGCTTTTGGCAGTGACATCTGCATATTCAAATGTAACCTATCATTTCCAATACATGCTTTGCGTCCTAGACGTTACACGAGGAGCATGTTTAAAACCACGTAATAACTTGGCCGGCACTAAGTTTCTGCGTTTGTTTTCTTTAATAAACTGACATTGCTCCAGCTGAGCCACAGCAGAGGGGTCGGTGTAGTTGTGACCTCTTCTGCTTCTGTTGAGTCTTCAGCCGTGCAGCGACGCACAAGACAAGACATTTCAGGGGTGACAGGGGAATTGAAGTCCAGAAGATTCTGATAATGAGCAAAAGGAAATGATATTAAAAACCAGGATTCTGTGAAATGTTGCAAAGAGTATTTGTTTGTCAGCGTACTAGGAATGTGAGAAAGTAAGACTTTTTTTTTCTTTGCATGAGCTGATGAGTATTTACGGGTAGAAGAGCTGAATGTATGAGGAGATAATGTCAGCAACGCCCAAGCTTACAACTCGGCCTTACTCCACTTTGGGCTTGATTGAAGTCATGCAAACATCATGCTAACATCAACAGGAAGCTACAGTTGCTACGTGGGCTGTATACACAAACTACTTAGGATGCCAGACTGCGATATGACCAATAACTGCACGTAATTGCTGTAAACAAAAAAAATTACAGAGAATTACAATTTGATATCACAAGTTTTAATGTTTTGTCAGATGAGACTTGCTGGAAGTAAGATGCAAAGATTTACTCTTAAACCTGTCGGCTACATATGGAACCACAGCAAGGAGATAGTTAGCTTAGCATAGAAAAAAAGAAGCAGGGTGAAAATGGATAACCCAGCCCTGTTCAAAAGTAAAATGAACCATGATCCTGCAATTCTTAAAACATTTAATTAACACAATACATCTTAATTATTGAGTATGTTGTAAATCATTGAAGGTATGTCCCAGGAAGTCCTTCAGGGTCGGCAGGCAAAAGAACTAAAGTTTGTTTAATGGCTTGAGATCTGTATGTAAATGTATTGTGTTAAAATAATCGGACAGGGGCCAGTTTTCCTAGACCTGCATTTATGCTAAGCTAAGCTAACCGGCTTCTTTTAGTAGATTTATTTTAAAGGAACAGACTTAAGCGTGGTATCAATCGTCACATGCAAGAAACTAAATATGTGTAATTAGAAAATATAATATACGTTTTTTGTTTTAATATAAGTGTTTATTGGTGACACTAGCTCTTCAAAAGTGAGTAGTGAAGGAAATAAGTATCATACTTGTTTCTTCCATCTACAGGAGGCGCTATCAGTGGTGAGTGAAGACCAATCCTTATTCGAGCCCCCGTACACTGCTGCTGCCCCTCTCCCCAAGACAGACATGACTGCATCTGGCACACAGGACTATGGCCAGACCCACAAAATCAACCCTTTACCCCCACAACAGGAGTGGATCAACCAGCCAGTGCGGGTCAACGTCAAGAGAGAATATGAGCACATGAATGGATCCAGGTATGGAATAATAATTTCTTCTAGCATCATATAAGTTATACGGACTTCAGAGAAACATGACAGTATATCTCTATGCATTGGGTAGTGTACACAATCATAGCTGTTGCTTTGACAGCTGTGATTTGTTAATCAACAGGCAATTTTCTTTACCACGATTAAACCTTCACTTTTTGCTTTTTCTCTTTGAGAATGTGTAGTGCTAAAAACAATCCCATGCTAAAGTCAAAAAAGAAAAACCAACAGCATCCAAATGTATCTCCTGAATGCTATATTTTACAACTGTCTTGTGTTTGTGTGTTTGTGTAGCAGAGAGTCTCCTGTAGACTGCAGTGTGGGTAAATGTAATAAGCTGGTGGGCAGTAATGACACTTCATCTCAGATGAACTATGGAAACTACATGGACGAGAAAAACGCCCCTCCCCCCAACATGACAACCAATGAGCGGAGGGTCATTGTACCTGCTGGTAAGAATAGGTTTCTCAATAACAAAACAACAAAATGCCATACCAGTATCATATGCTAGGTTAATATGATTCAAATAAGAGTAAAAACAACTCCTCCTTTTTCTTAAAAATTTGCAAATACCATAAATCCCCAATATCTGTTGAGCTGGTTGATTGGGTAAACCATTGTTCGAGTGGTCATATTTTTTTTCATTGGCTTCACAAACTTTAAATATATATCAAATCACACAATTTACGACGTAACAGTTTATAATTATATCCCCCCAAAAAATATTTAGACGTCTGTTTTGATTACGTTGTAAGACTTAAGCCAAAGACTGGTTCATTATTTTCCAAAAAATGAGCACATGTGATGAATTAACAGTGAAAGGAGAGTTGATACATGTTCCTATTAGAAGACTACTGAAGTGTTATTTCTAAACTGATCCAAATGGCCACTCATCCATTAACTTAATAGAAGCTCTACATGGACACCACTCCTTAACCACAAGTGGCAAGTCTGGGCTTTGGTTTCACAATTTTGTAGCACAATATACAAGATTTCAGAAAGGTTATTTTAAGAACTGTGTTTTTATTTATTTGTATAAAGGTTTATTTCAAACGTTTGTAGCCACAACAGGAAGGGATTTCAGAGCCAATACTACGTTGTGGAAGATATTCTAAAAGGTTTCAATAAACCTTTAACGACTCATCTCACTCATGCTGACCCTATCCATGTGGTAAAAATAAAACAAAGAATATTTACAACTATCTGAACAAGGTCTGCTACTGATATAAAATTCTGTTTCCAATTTGTCTCCTGCCCTTTACCTTTCCAGACATGAGGCTCTTCCAGCTCTGTCAGAGCATCTGTCCAGAAACAACTGTAACAGAGGCAAGCTTCTCCTCACTTCTTCTTCTTCTTCTTCTGTCTTTCTGCAGACCCGTCATTATGGTCCCAGGACCACGTGCGCCAGTGGCTCGAGTGGGCGATCAAGGAGTACGGCCTGTTAGAGATCGATACGGCCATGTTTCAGAACACAGACGGCAAAGAGCTCTGCAAGATGGGCAAGGACGACTTCCTCCGGCTCACCACCATGTACAACGCCGAAGTGCTTCTCTCTCATCTCAATTACCTCAGGGAAAGTAAGTACCCATTATGCAAACCATGTGTAAGAAAACTAAAAACAAGCAGGCAAATCAAGGGAACAAAGGATACAAAACTAATGAATAAGTCATAAGACATTTAATTAACTCAGGAAAAAGAAGTGATTGGTTATTGATCGATAAAAAAAGCTAACAAAAATAAAAACACAAGGAAGACATATGAAGTAGCAGTTCTGGTAAAATGTGCTCTGATATTCATGCTTTACATCCTCCTGGTTGTACATAAAGTAAAGTTAGCTCTGGCATCCATTTTTTGCCAAAGAATGGAAGTCAAAATCAACCTACAAGACATATTTCTCTCTCTTGTCACATACTTGTTTTTGTTTCTGGAAGAAAAGTATCAGAAGAAAAAAAAACGAACAGCATTGGCAGTGACACTATTTTTGTCACCACATTATACTCACATTACAATACATAAACAATGACATTGCTTTTACTGGAAACTCATGTCTCCATAATAATTGCTATAAGTATGAGGCAGGGTTGTGAAAACCCAAGAAGGTTCTTTCCAGTCTCGAGATAACCATCGACTGTATCCCCCCCCCCACTTGACTTTGCAGTGCCTTATTCCACATGGTCACGAAAGATGAAGGCCAGGTGCATTGCCTCGGGAATCACGCTATAGGCCTTTTTTGTCTTCAGCACGGCAAAGAAAGTTGATCTGCAATTTGCAATGGAGGGAACTAAATTGGAAGCTGTAACCTTTGAAGAGTTCCTCGTTCACATGTTTCGGCTCGGGAACTAAAGCATTTTTTCCAAGGGCAGTATGCAAATGAGGTTTTGATATAAGATGTAACATCTGGCATGGCTGTTGGGTTAGATACACAATCATGTCTAGTCCAGAAAGTAGGAACACACTGTTTTCTATTAGTAGGCCATGAATATTGTGAATATTGAATATAAACAGTTTGTCCCATTTTTGAATTCTTCGCATTCTGCAAAATGGTTTTGAGCTGCTTCTGCTGTGGCTGAGATAGCATGACACCAAGTTGGGTGGAGTGACTGATGGCTCAACTAAATTTAACATCACTTCCAAAATACTGCGATGGGGCCGCAGCGTGATGTAATGGGAACTGTATTTTGTGGGTGTCAACAGTTTTCTCTGTGCACGGCGTCTGGGCAAAGAGAGATGCTTGTCATGAGTATAACAGCCTCATTGTGCAGCGGCTGCAGCGGGTGGATCTGTCTGACCGCCACTGGGCACACTCCACCAGGCAGTTTTCATTACGGCCACTGGCTGCGGGACTTAGCCGTGGCTTAGGCGTGCTGCACCGCGACGTTGCCCAATGCTGCCCCTTTTTTTTATTTTATTTAGACCTTGTGTGTTTTGGAGACAGAAGAAATGTCTCGGGAATCCTCTCCACTTGCCAGCTGAAATTGCTTTGGATCGCTTCCCAACAATCAAAAAAGATGAATGCTCCCGTCCCCGTGCCTGGACTGACTGACCTTGTTTTTTGGGGGCAGGGTCTTTGAGAAGCAGGCAGTGTGTATTATTGACATTGGGAGCCTTAGGGCAAGAGGAACCATGTTAGTAAATGAACGTCTAAGGAAGACTGAGAAGCAGGAGGAGGAGGAGGGTGAAGGCTTAATGTATACCCTGCGGGGCTGATGATTTGGAAACTGAAGCCTTTTGCTTTTTCCCCCCGCAGCACAAACAAACACAATCACAGACAAGGAGTAACCCCGTCCAGAAAAGAGACCTCTGGCTTCACTCACGAGAGCTGGAGCTTGGCCGAGCTTTTCAGAATACAGAAAAAGGGAAAGAAGGGAGAGACGGAGCCTAACCCTGGAAGTATTAGTGATTCCAGATCATGTGATGTCTTCCTCCTTTCACCCATTCATACATTACCCCCCCATCCTCCTCCAAAAGCTGGATGGTCCAAGGGGGGTACGATTACATTTCTCTCACATCTGTGTGCATCATGTGTGGGTTCTGTTTATTGAACCTTTGATTAACATTCCTCAAAGTCATTAATCCCTGTATGTACACTCGGCACGGGGCAAGGGCACGCCTCCCCATCCTTCAGCCATACGATAACAAAACATTCCCGCTAGGTCATGTGCAAAAATATCACGCAGACACCAACGCTGGTGCAACCGCTGGCACAATCACAACATCTGTCTGGCTTCCCAGCTGCTTTGCAGTAACAAGGGTAGTTGCCTGTGCATTATTTGTTGGCCTCATTGTTGGTCACTTATCCAGATTTTTATAAGTAATGGCCGCCCGCGCCCCAATGTGCTTTCAATTTGGAACGCAATTTGAGAATTTGTTCAAATTAGTCTGTCAAGGAGGGACCGCGGATTGTTTGCTTTATCGCACCCATGTAGGTCGGTTTGATACCACATGTGCTGGAAACGGAGCCGAGCAAAACCTCAGACAACGAAAGTCTGTATCCTCCGACAGACGGAGATGCAAGAGGAGAAGGAGGAATGAGATGGGGGGGGGAGGCATAAATGAGTCAGAAGGCAGACAATTTAAAGCAAATATACTGAGGATCTAAAAAAACAATTTCAGAAATTGGATGAAGAAATATGTCCTTGACAGATGTATTTTACAGTAGTTATTTGAGGACAGGAGTGCGAGGGTGTGAGGAGAAACTGTTTTAGTAGGCGAGTGTGAGCTAGAAAAAGAAAGTCGAGGGGGTCGACTATTTTTTAAGAATTGTGTGGAAATGGTCCGAGGTGGTCATGATTGAGTGCTGTTGGAGAACAGCAATAGTTCTGTTTCCCAGCTGTCGCCGTTGCTTGTGTGTCTGGATGGATTTACAGTGAGGGAGTCAAGAGAGAGAGAGAGAGAGAGAGAGAGAGAGAAAGAGAGAGAGAGAGAGTGATAAGTCTGGGCTTCTGCATTCTGCAGCTTGCTCCAGAGTGGGGGACATTCTCGAGCCCTCAATAGTTTATACAGACCATAAACATCTGGGCTCGAAGGCTGAGTAGGGAAAAAGGAGGTCTGGAGAGCTCTCTACCCTCCTTCTCCCCTCACAACATTTTTATTGAGCTCCCTTTGCATTAGTTCTTTCTATTGGCAGATTATCACCGGTGCAGAGGGGCTCAGCAGTCTGGCTCTGCGCCCTTTACTGTTAGCTGTCTGCTGTTAGCCACCATACAGAGCAGTTTGTGTCTGCTCAGTGACGGCTGGGCTGCAGACACTTTGCACTTATGGAATTTATGTGTATATCAAATTAGCATAAGGGGACGTGGATAATAAGCAGTTGCTATTCATGTAAACACTGAGATGAGCTCAGCTGTAATTTAAGCTAGCTTCTCAGAGGTCCATTATAATTGTACTCACAGCCCAATTGCCAGTTAAGTATTATGATTTGGGCCAATTCTGTAAAACCTTGGAATTCAGTCAGCGATGTTTTTCAGCTTTTATCCTAAAAACTTTTACATTATTTTTTTATAGTCACTTTAAACAGCATCATATGGTTAATCTATTAGGGGGATAATTTTGAACTCCCCACAAACCTGATACACTAAAACTCTCACCCACTCCAAGCAGTGACTGGATAGGTGGGTGGGAGTGAATAAACAAGGAAGTATTTAAATGTTTCAAATAATATCAGCATTTAAGGTGAAATAGTTAGAAAAAGGTATCTTCATCTTTGGTCCTCGCAAAGCAATAACAATAACTTAACAATGTCCACTGTGGGATGTAATAATCTTCAATCACATTGTTGATCCATCCCTGAACTGCAACCCCTGTTACTTCCACATTTGCTTCATCATTTGAGAATCAAAGAACCCCTTCAGTTGTTGTCTGTTATAGTCTCATGATCTTAAGAATGGTGTAGTTAGCTTACCACATGATTCTCGATAGGTCATGCTGGGGGACAGGTGTGTTTTGTATTTTATTACATTTATTTCAACTTCCTGTTTTTGTGCTTTAGTAGCCTGAACAAAAGAAAATGTCTTTCACTTTACCATACCCAAGTTTCTATTCCTTTACTAAACCAAACTTTGACTATAATGGATTCTATACATAGGAATCTTTTTTGTAATTTTATGAAAATAAATTCATGTGCCACGTGTTTTAAGAAGCCAAACCTTTTGTGTTCACTCCCACCCACCTATCCAGTCACTGCTGAAGGTGGCAGCTCCAGTTATTTTCAAGACAGGGGTAATGTAAAGGATTACAAATTCGCCGCTTATTTGTAACTCTTACATTTCATAGGTGGATTAGTTTGCTGTAGTCCTGCTAGTTTATGAGAGGATTGATTGCAGTTGGGTTTCCTTTAGTTGACAGACTGGCACAGTTGATTTAAGCCTTTACAAAAACAAAGGGAATATGATCACCATAAGTAACTGCACTGCTGTCTCAGTAACAGTTTCAACTACACATCCAGCCTGCTGATGATGTTAGCCACTTACAGAATGCTAACACAGTGAGCATATAAAGCTCCTGGTTACATTACTTTGCAACTTGGTTATACACAGGTAGAACATCTGAGCATATACACATTGATACTTCTTATCAGGCAGTGATTTGTATCTTTGAATGGGCTTGTGGATCACACAGAGGTGGCTGTGGCTCAGTGGTAGAGTCGGTTGTTTCTCAACTGTAAGGTTGGAGGTTTGATCCAAGCTTGTGCAGCTACATGTTGATGTGGCCTTGGACAATGCTCACTGCTGTTGTTGAAAAGATCAATGGAAATATCCAATTTTGTTGTTTTTTCTTTCACAGAGATATTCCTGTTGATTAATACATTGACTTACGTAATTATGAAATGGGGAATTGAAATGTTTTTATTAAAGTAACTTGAGAAAACAATGCTAACAAACAATGTAATTCAGATAAAAGTGACATCAGAGAATTTGAAAGACACTGATGAATTATCTCTTCATATTTGAGGACTTGTTGGACATTTCTGGCATGCACTAAGGCTGGTGTAAAAAATGAGCAAGACATTGCAGCATCATCCTATGGGGCTGAAATTATAACCTACTGCTGACTGGAGCCCATTTGGCCCGCTTTAGGTGGCAAGATGCCCAAAAGAGGGTGACTGGAACCCTCAGTTTGTTGACAAAGCTCAGGCCGCATGTTTGAGGCAACAGTATCACATAGCTTTACAGAATAAACAGCAGGGGCCTGATGGAGGTCAATCACAATGCTGAGCAAACCCTCCAAGATCTCTGTCAATATTACGGGGGTAGCCAAATTCAAGGAGAGGACTTTAAAAAAAAAAAAAAAAAGAGCGAGCCATCACTCATAGGAAGGAGAGAAAAGAAAATTGTTTGTGGATGTTATGTAATCAAGCAGACCGTGAGCAGATGTGACAGGGGAGGGAAAGAGAGAGTGGAGGTCTTAAAGGCTAAACACTGGCCAGTCCTCCCACTGTGCTGTCAGATTAACCGGGGACGTGTTTGTTTTCTGAGAGAAGGAAGAAATCGTCCAAATAAATAGGCAGCATGGCCATGGACCTCCTCCACTCAAACAGTCAGCTGTGTCTCTCTCTCTCTCCCTCTCATACTCACTCTCACTCTCCCTATACAGCAGTCCTGATTTTCTCTGCGGGGTGGTTTGAGGTTTTCTCAGCAATGCTGCCTGTTTGCCTGTCCGGGTCAGCCCACATATGTGGCACACAGTAGGAAAAGGGTTAATGACCCCTTCCTCCTCCCTTCTCTCCCTCCCCTTCTTTTTTTTTTCTGTCGGTTCATCTTTCTCCTACACTTTCTGCCTCATTCCAAAGACGGTGCTTTGGTGGCTCATTTGCCCCCTGTGCGCTTACACACTCTGCGTGTGGAATTATTTTTGTATGGGGGAGCTGCATTTGATTGCTGAGCAGGGACCCAGCCTCATACAATGGCTCCCCTGTTCTGAGGCCCCCAGGTTTTCTAAACTAGACCCAGAGCCTTGGGGGTGCCGTGGAGTAGGTAGAACCAGAAGGGGTGGGGTGTTGGGAGGTTATAATACATTTGTGGAGCACCCCCCACCACCACCCCCAAGCCACCCCCTAAAAAAACAGAACCCTAGTCTGCCACCATGGGCCCCTTACCCCCTATTCCTCCAGCTTTTAGGTCCTGCATCAAATCTCAAGGAAAGCAAATCCCAAATCTAACTTTTGCCTTTGACATTTTTTTTGGTTCTTTTTCATATGATCCCATTCAGAAAACACACATCTCCCTTACTCAGCAGCTCTCTGCAGCCATCGCAGTGCTAAATCTTAAAAACTCCCTGCGTAGTAGCTGCCCTTGTGTTTTCTCTGTGCATTTTTGGCTCTGTTTTTCCACTCGCTGATTTATGCCTGGGGGCAGCTAAAATTAAGAGAGCATTTTGGTGCCGCCCAGGGTGCCTGTGTAAGTGGAGGAATGCAGTGCAGAGTTCTGCTCCATAAGGTGAAATGAATAGGCCGCCATATGCAGACTCCTGCCTCCCTGACTTTATTATTCAGGAGTGAGGATTGCAGTTAAAAGACTGCCGGGCTCCAGGGTTTTTTTTTTCTTCCTACATGTAAAGCACTGACTGTGTGCTGGATTGTCTTTATTTGGGACTAAATTTATGTGTCATGAATTATTATAGTACTACGACTATTTTTAGGTTAAAAAAATAGGAGCACAATTCAAGAAATGAAAAGGGCTCTATATAGCTGCGTGACAGTAATTGAGCTGAACCTACTACTGCCACCTGCTGGCTATTTTCTTTAAACCCTGTGAGCTTTCTGTCTGAGGGAAATGCATTATAATTACACTCACTAATAACGTCCCTTGTATTAGTTAAGGCTATTAATATACAAGTTTGCAAATATTCTGCAAGCATGGAACTTTACTCATTTATAACTTAAACTGTTGATCACTGATTGCTCTCATGAAATAATCCATGAAAACATCTTCTAGGCTGATCCATGCTACTTTTTTGTCCATCACATGTCCTTTTTGTAACTTGTAAAAGTTGATTTGTCATTGTTTTTTTTCTCACTACTATGCTCTATGTCATCTCATTTTTATTCCAGGTAGCTCATCATTATCCTACAACACACCATCTCATGCAGACCCATCCCCTCGCCTGGCCGCCAAAGAGGGTAGGGACAACATTTTATTTAAATGTTCTAATCCTTATATCCCTGTGTGTTTTGGTATACTTGGGGCTGTTGTAACTGTTAAAATAAGTGGGTCAAGGTGAGATTGTCAGGCCTAAAAATAATAAAGAAGAATGAAAAGATGAAAACAGAGAAAAAAAATGTATGATGACCCTGAGAGAACCTTTTGAGACAGGTAGATAGGGAAACACACTTTAGCATTTAGGTCAGTTACCACAAATCCAAACCTCAAGCTCTGATGCTCCCAACAGCACGCTGTGCAGGTGCACCTTTTGTGATTCCAAAAACAATATGAGCCAAGCTGCCTTTTTTTTTTTTTTTTGTAAGAGCCAGTGCCTGTGATCACACTTTGTGCACTCTCAGGCTAGAGGCATACTAACAAGTGAACAAAAGCTTGGTGTTGATGAGTCCTTTCCACAACAGCAGGGGCGAAAGCAGAAGCTGAATGTGGTGATAATGGTCAAAGAAGGAGGACACAAGACTTGTGAATGAGGTTGTTTGTTGGGAGAGAGACATCATAGACAGGTGCTTTGGCAACAATGTGCATGGAAAACACGGCAGAGGAGCCTGAATAGCTTCTTCGGGCCAGACTGGAGCAGAAAAGAGTGTTTGTTGCTTTCAACAGGGTGTGTAAGTGATCTATTGGCAAAGAGGATGACAGAAGGTCACAGGGAGAGTAAGCATAATATACTTTAGTACATGCTTGTAGGACTTTTGTTAGAGACTGGCCAAATCTTTATCATTTTGCAGTTTGAAACATTGTGCACTAAAAACTCTCTTTTTTAGTGACATTGTTTTAGAAAGATTACTCCCCTTTAACACATGAATCACATTCAACCTTTACCTGATCGAAACTCTGAAGGTATGCAATGGATACAGTAGCCTACATATTTACACATGATTCAATATTAATACAGCCTTTTCAGATATCTCTAAAAAATGAGCCCAAATTTGTTTATTTTTAAAGATTATTAATTTGTAATGACGGAAATTAACTATGATAAAAACACAGTGATTGCAATTTCTTATTATTAGTCATTTAACTGATTCTTTCTTTACTCAAGATACTGATATACAGTATGCTAGAAGAACAAATAGTCTGAAACTAACAGGAAGAATGTTAGAATAGGAGGAATAGGTAGCAGTAACATCTTGAGAATTGTCTTGTGTTTGCCGTATTTTATTTGCAAATAAGAAGGGTTTTAGGCGAATGTAATAATAATAATAATAATGATAGACTTTATTTGGCATGGACATCACAGATACATTGGACAAACCAGATGCATTGTTTAAGTGTTTTAGCAAGCATGCTAGTTCTCAACACATGTCCACAGGAGGTGTTTGAAAGGAAAACAATTAAAATAGGGAGAAAAGTGATAAAACAGAGAAAACTATAAGGAGAGAATAAATATAAAATAAAACATTTAAAATAGACATAAACTGTAGAGCAAAGGCAGCATGATCAAACAATAACCCAGTCAGAAGCTATTCATGTGAGCACTGTTGTTTTGATTTCAGCCATTGTTTGAGTCCTCTAATTAAAAGCATTACTGTTGCTCTCTAATTTTATGCCAGTGGGCAGAGAGCTCCAAAGTTTTGCCCCCTTTGCAGAGAAAGCAAACTGGTCAAAAGATGTCTTGTACAATGGGACAAGACAATCACTGCTGATGGAGGCTCGTGTGACTTCCCTACGAGAGCTCTGACGCCTGATGGCTAATTCAGATAACAGTGGAGACACATGATTATTTACACATTTAAAGAACAGTTTAAAAGTCTAAAATTCATAAAATTGTCAAAGGAATGCACAGTGAGATGAAGCTTTTGTTGGTGCTTGCTATTAACGCTGAACAAAAGTTGACTGAATCTAAAGCTTTTTATATTTCTGAACTATTTATATGCACTACTGCAGTGAAGTAGAAATGTAATGCCGGTGGTGTTGAAGCAAAAGTCTTGCAAAAGCCAGGCTGAGTTTCTAAGAACAACGCCCACAGCAGCTTAGGATGATTGTTTCTTTCCTCCTGGATACCTTTCCACTCCGCAAACATTATTTTTGCTGACACAACACCATCATCGCTTGAAAGCTTGAACTGCATATCAGTAAAATAAAGAAAGCTACACATCCTTTACATCAGCTATACGGTGTCACCACCAGAGACGAGAGAAAGGACTGCAATAACAGTGATAGCCTCGCTCACAGGATGAGGGGCCCTCTCAAGGCAGGCCTGAGAGGAAACACTAGGTCTGATAAGTGTCCGAGAATGCCCTCTGCCTCTCACTATCGGGGCCCCCAGTGGTTTAGCATTAGGAAGGCGGTGTACTTGTTCTCGCCCTGCTTCAATACCAATAGAGCAATGGGCAGGCGAGATAAGATTCTGCTCAGTCACCCCCCGACCCCTGCTCTTCCTGGTTCTCAGCGCCAGGTATTTGGACTGGCAGGAATAGAGGGTCACTCCCTTCACCAGCATTTCCCCTTTCACGAGAGATGACTTCTATAACGGGCTCCGGTAACACTGAGCGAGCCTCTGACTGTGTCTCGTGATCCCCGCCTCGAACTGAGAAACAGAGATGACTTTTTAAATTATTACCAAGATAATAGAGTAATTAACATAAGAGTTTAATTATATGTTTTCCCCTTCAAGTACATTTCAAAGTCGTTTAAATCAATGCAACTTATTTACCACATGTTATAACACTAAATTACATATTTATGGTTTAAGTAATTCACTTTTATGGAGTTTAATGATTATTTAACTGACATGTTTTACCGACGAATGAATGTATTTTATTATTTAGCGACTGCATCAGAGCTCTGTGAAGTCCAAGACAAATCTCCCACTAGGACAAAAAATGTAATCTTAATCTTAATCTTAAATGTTACCTTGTTTTATTAAACACGTTTTAGCAGGATAGTTCCAAACTGGAGTTGTGAGTTCGATATAAACGAAGTCTTGCTGCAGGAGAATCCTATATCAACATTTTTCTCAGACCCACATTGCCAGATGTTCAAGTTCATATTGCCTTTAGAGAACAGTCAAATACCATTCAGGCTCTTTGGGGTAGAGTAAGCACGAGCATGCAGCAGGAGACAACCCTTAATCTGCTCCAGACTCACTGGTGTAAAATGCAATGTTATGAATAAAAGAGAGCATATAAAACACGGAATGCAGCAGCTATGAAAGGGGATGTGTGTGTCTGCATGTGTGTGTGTGTGTGTGTGTGTGTGTGTGTGTGTGTGTGTGTGTCTAATGTCTGTGTCTTCAATATGCCTGTGGAGAGGCATGTGTGTGTAGGTGGGATTCTGAATGCCTTAGTGTATTTGTCACCCTTTGAATGTTATTTTTTAGAGCATATGTTGAGGAGTTTCTGTATTGTTTGTTTTCTACTTGTTTTTTTGTTTTTTTTACCTCTAGTGACTTTTTGTACCTTTTTCAATTTTTAGCATCTGTTTGTGCCGCTGCTTTGGCATTTTATAATTTTGCAGAAAGTACACTCATATTCTCCGCTGCTTCTTTCATTTCCACGAATGGAGAAAGACGATGATGATGACGATGATTCACCTCTGTGAATCTATTTATTTTGCTGCCACGTCAAACTGGCAATTCAGCTTGGCGTTTTGTGCAAGCTGTCACATTTATACATTTGAAATGCTCCCATTTTGCATTTTGACATGTATAGAAAAAAGAAGATTATATATCTTTCTGTGTGTGTGCAGCATTGTTGTTGTCTCCTCTTGCGTACCCACTGCGTCTATATCTTGTTCTTCGCTACTATCTTGTCCTCTTGTGGCTCCTTCCTTACACAGCTTTTTTAAAAGCACCTGTATTACTTTACTGGTATTTAAAAACCTTGTGTCCTGTCTGGGTCTCTTGTCTTGGCTCAGACTTCAGGTTAAGAACAGTCCATGACTCCATTATCGCCTTCTCTTCTTTTTCTCTGTCTACCCAGTCTCTGTGCTCAGTTGTTCTTTCACTCCCACTCTATCTAGCTTTCTCCTTTTACTCTCTCTCTCTCTCTCTCTCTCTTTTACTCTATGTCTCTTTGCTCTCTCTCTCTCTCTCTCTCTCTCTCTCTCTCTCTCTCTGTCTAGCACTCGGGCCTTGTTTTGACTAACTGGTCCTGCAGTCGAAGTCTCCCAGGAGCATGCACCACACCCTCAGACCAGAGTGGAAACTGGCTCAAGTCGCAGTCAGAGCAAGGCCTGGAAAAATGAAGGAGGGGGTGGGGGTGGGAGTGGGGGCTTGGGAGAGGCGGCTCTGTGTGTGCACATTTTGGTCTGTGTCTGTGTTTGTATGGCTGGCTTGCCCCGAGTACCCCCGACCACTTGGGCTTTGTACATTTTACCTCTGCTGCTTCTTTTTACTTCTTTTTCTCTTTCCCTTCAACTTCCTTGCATTTCAGTCAGTCCACTTAGCTTTTAACAGATTATTATAGATAGGAAACACTTCCATTAGTGCCTTTATTCTCGCTCGCATTAATGCTTTTGTAGGTAAATGTGATATTCTGTGGAAGACTACACCACAGGTTTCTAAAAACCTGAAGGAGAGCTTCTCAGCTGTAGCTCATACCAGACAGTAGCAGGGTTCTCTGCCATTATTTTCTTTTCAAATTCCAATGTTGTGTTTCGTCTGACTCTTTTTTTTTCCACGTTATTTTTTCTTCCCTCTCTTACATTTCTTCTTCTCTCCGCTTTCTCTCAGCGTTTTCTCGCTCTGTCACTCTGTCTCCATCTTTTGCCCCTCTATACCTCTGAATAAAATCACTTTCTCTTTTCTGTGCCTCCTTTACATTCTGTCTCATTTCTCTTTGCTTCACTCCCCTTCATCTCCTGTCCTGTTTGTGATGCCCCCCCCCCTCTCTGCACGTATGTATGGAGGTAGCCCTGATGTGTTTTTTGGGGTGGTGGGGAGTGGATGGGGATAGGGGGGGGCTGGTGGTGAGTAGAGGGGAAAAAAGGGCCAGTAAAACAAAGAGAGGTTGTCTGCATGCGAGGCAGGCAGGAAACACAAGTCTCCCAGGACTCTCCCCCAGTCGCTGCTCCTTGGCTATCCTGCCGGCCCACACCAGATTGAACCTGACAGCACCGCTGAGCCACGGCAGCCCACTTTTTATTTGTCCCTTTTCTTCCTCTTTTTGTCTCACTCTGTATTACCCTCACTTTTCTTTTTTTCCGTTCTATACCTTACCATCGCTTTGTGTGTTTTTGAACTGTCACTTGAAATGCTTGCACTTTTTACTCTATTTTTAATATCCCTCTATTCATCTCACAGACCAGAGACCCTGTGCCATCTATACTGACAGGTATGGTTTCTTTTCTGGAAAAACTCCCAGGGTGTAAGATTAAAAGTTCAATCTGAGTGAAGAGATCAAGAGGTCCCTTTAGCAGCAGGATGTTTAGGCACTGGTGAATATAGTGCTGGTAATAAAAGGGACAACGAGGCAGCACAACTTCCAAGTTCCAAGTTTTCTTATTCTACAAAAAACACAATTATTTGTACATAAAAAGACAAAAACAAATACAAGAAAGAAAGATGAGTGATGACAAACCATTGCAATATTAGACAAATACTGCTCCTTTTCAAAAGGTTGCAGTATTTCCATGGTTTCCATCAATCCAATGGATGATACAGGGGACCTTGCCTTGATTGCGGATTCTTTAAATTGTAATTTGGGGGTATTTCAATTAGAAGACAGTAAAATAAACTATGATGTCTTACTGTAGAACAAGACAGATACTTTCATTTGAAGAGTTGTTACTTTTAATAAGGCAGCTAAGAAACAAGTAAGACAATAGAAGGTTGTTTGGCGGGTTACAAAACAATTTATGTGTTTGCGTTTATGAAGATATTTAATTCAATTGTGTATGTGTGAGTGAGGAGGCGGACATTGATTTTGTACATTAATTATTTCCACTTTAGAAAAATAAAAATGTCAACATTATTTAATCCACAGGAGGGCAGCATTGCGCAGGGTTTGAAGGGAGCCATAGATGAAGCTGATGGTGAATTAGATGCCACTGGAAGTTCCTCTGGTGTGGTCGAATGAGATTTAAGATTGCAGCTATCATCCTCATAACTTTATAGTATGGCACAAAACAACATAAACATGCAGTGTTTTAACGGGGGGGGAGACAATAAGTCCAACAACAGTGTTCATTGATGTAACATTGTCACACTAAGCCTCAGCTGCTTTAACATCTTAAATCCCACAGAGGATTCAATTAAAAGGAGTGACCAGGATAGTAAATAACATGGTTGACATTTGTAAATGGTCTTGGGCTTGTATTGCGCTTTCTGGTCTTTCAGCTTTTACACTGCAGGTCACACCTTCCCATTATTCACACACTGATGGCAGAGGTTGCTATCTAAAGTGGCCATCAGTATTAACTCATTCATTCGTACATATACGCCGCTGATGAAGCAGCAGGAGCAGCTCGGGGTAAAGTGTCTTACCCAAAGCCACATCGGACATTAGGCCGCAGGAGCTGGGGATCAAACCCCCGACCTTCCGTTTAAAACCAAGGCGACTCTACCACTGATCCACATCTCAACATAATCATAAACCCTATCATCACATACCAAACACTGCATGACATCATCAGCAACATGAGGAACATTGGGACTCACAAACTTCTTTCCCAAGCCTGCTTTTTAATGAAAAATGTTTTGGTGCTTAAGGAGTGCACTTGTTAATCATAGCAGGGAGGAAATCTGCACCAAGAGCCAAAATTCAAAATATGAAATTCAGAGTATAAACTGGGGATGTTACGCTGGATATCTTTAGCCTATCTTCCTGACTGACTGTTAAAGATGTAAGATAACTCACTCTGTTGTACTCCCAAGATATGGATGATATATTCATCATGTTTTTTTGGTGAAGTTTTGGCGATGTTGCTGATATTCCCACTCTAACAGATTTAAGAAATAGACTCAGTCTTTAAATGAGGGATCAGGGGGGTCTTCTCAACATGAAATCAAGACAATTTCTGGAGGCACAACCCCATAAAAGGGTGTTCAAGTTAAAATGAATCATGTTATCAGTTAAAATCCCATGGTATCTAACAGTTCTCTTCAAAGTCTTCCACCTGTCTGTTGACAATCTGAGAAGCTGAGGGACTTACAATCAGAACGCTTGTCCTAGTTTTTTCACTATGGGTAAATAACATGCTTTGTATAAGAGAGAGCACATCTGATTTGGTAAACTGACTGGAAGAATGAACAGCAAACATTGAAATATAACTGTTGTTGTGGTGAAGGCTATACCAACTCCACTTGTTCCTCCACATAGGTCTGAAAAGCATCTTTCATTTTTAAAGTCTATGTTTGACTTTTTCATGAGTTAACACAAATTAGATCTTCGAAGTGGAGACAGAAATTTAAACTGAGAATTTGTTGGTTTAACGAAGGATAGCTTGCACGTTACATAAATACACTGGTTGAAACAAAGTTGAGAATAATTTAAGTTCACATAAATAATCATGACTTACAAACAAACACCTACGCATACAAATACACACAAAGCCTACAGTTGTTGTCGGGGATAAGCATACTCCCTTGCTTCTAAAAATCAAAAAACAAGAAACGAGAGCATGATTATAATTCATTTGGTATTTCCTTAGAAAACAAAAGTGAAAAAATAAAAGCTGTAGGTCGCTCTTTTTTCTTTATTTGAAGAATACCTGACTCTCTTTTTTATTTCTTTTTTTATTGAGATTTTCAGCAAACATAATAGTAACAATAATTGCACTTGTGAATTTTTATGCAGAGAAACATTATTTGCATTGAAAGCAACAGACATTTAAAACAGAATGAAGACAAAAAAATCTTAAGAAAATAAAGGTAATGAATAAATAAATTAAAAAAATTATAAGTATATATGATAAAAATTAAAAATACAAAAAAAAAAAAACAGATAAGAATACCTGACTCTCTTACTAAGATACAACATGCTTGGTTTTACATGAGCCAATTACTGACCCAGAAGCAATTCATTGTCCACTTAACAGTCGCAGCAAAATGAGTCTTTCACTGTTAAGATTTTCCAATCCAGGGATTTAAACTGTCAACTTTGATCGTCAGTAAGCCTGCTTTTTAAAAGATTCCACCTCCACTGATGGGAAACAGGATTGCCTCTTGACCTTCTAACAGCTTGCTTATCTCAGCAACAACCTCTGTCATCACCATTACATCGTCTCTACTCACTGCCCTGCGGGAGAAAACACTGCTGACAAAAAGATTTGCAGATCATGATAACCCTGTTGCACACAACACAAGAGTGTAAAGCATATCTGGCCACAGTACGCATCATGTTTCCCTGTATTCTGACAACTGTTTGAACTGTATTGCCTGAAATAATAGAAATCATCAAGGGTACTGGCCAGGTGCGTAGTGAGTATACCAGGGTGTTTTTTGAGACGCTGCCAGGGGAACGATGCATCCTCTGTTTTATCTGCTTGTGTCAGAGTGATTGATTGTTACTGGAAGCGGTCCAGCTTCACATTCAGTCAGGTTTGAAGCGCAGACACACAGCAGGTATAGAGCCCATGTAAACTGGGCCAGTTTGGCTCTTTGTCAAGGTTTTATAAAAGCAGCTGCTATGTGTGGAGAGAGGGATGAGGGTGAATATCATGTGTGTTTCTGTTGTAATGGCCTACGTTTAACTTGCACCAGTGCTTTTATTTGTGGTCAGAGTGTTGCAAGCTGCTGAACCAACTGTGCCCTCATGAAGATTGTGCCATCAACACTTTAACCACCAAAGGGTGCCAAACGAAAACCGCATTACAATGCCCAGATATCCTGTTAAGAGCCCCGTGGACCATGTTTTGATAGATTTATTGATGCCATTTGGCACTTGTTCCCTAATTTTCTTCTGTGGCAGTTAAAGATGTCGGATAGGCTAGAAAACTATGAAATTAAGTATAAAATAACAAACTGGGGATTTCTGAAGCTTTTCATTGTAGACACTGCTCTGTTTCGAGTGTTACACAACATTTTACGTCGCCAAAAGCAGCCTTAAAATACGTTTCAAATGTACTCAAACTTCCCTTCTTTCCTCCCCTCCTTTTAGACCCTTCATATGATGCTGTACGGCGAACAGGATGGTCAAACAACATGCACAGTGGCAAAGGTGAGGAATGCATTTTTAGTTCAACATCTGCAGGTTAAAAAACAGACTTGAAAATTCGCTTTAACCTCTTTAAGTATACATCACTGTAGAGATACATCCCCAGCATCCACACAGTCTAGACATCCTAAAGATTATCGCCTCTGTTCACAGAACATTCACAGTCTAAAGGAGTCAGTCCAACCCCCAATTAGTGCCTCACTGTACATACATTGGAACTCTGCTGACGTGATGTTGTGAAGGGTGGTTATCTGTAGCAACCCTGCTAATGCTGTCTCCAAACCTTTTAATGCCTCTCTCATCCTCTATCTATTCGTTTCTCTCTCTCTCTTCCTCTCTGCAGGCTCACCAGTTGTTACCCAGAATGTGACTAAGACCGCAGAGCAGCCCAGAGCTCAGCCAGGTATTGGTTTATGGATAGGATTCTTTCTTAACCAACATTTTACCAAGCTAACAAAGCTAATCCTTTAGCATTGATATCAGCTTCCCCTGTGGCTGTTTCCTTGTTTAAGATAGTTTAAGTCATTGTTAGTCTGACTAATTTCGGCAAAGCTAAACTTTAGTTATTCACATTGAAACATGATATTATTAGTCTAAAGTAAGAAAACATTAGCTGTTGCTTTGTGGCAGACCTCCATGTAAGTAAGTAGAGTTAGCTTTCCATTTTGTTACAACAGTGCCCGCTGTGTAGACCAACAAAGATCTTCTTTTGTTCACAGATCCTTACCAGATTCTGGGTCCAACCAGTAGTCGTTTAGCCAATCCAGGTAAGATTTTTAGGCATCCTCAAGTCTTTGTAAATTAATAAATCGTTGATGGTTGAATGTTGCGCCATAGTTATCGTTTTTTTGTGTCTGTATCCACCATCAGGCTCAGGTCAGATCCAGCTGTGGCAGTTCCTCCTGGAGCTCCTGTCGGACAGCGCCAACGCTGGCTGCATCACTTGGGAGGGCACCAACGGAGAGTTCAAGATGACGGACCCGGACGAGGTGGCGAGGCGCTGGGGCGAGCGCAAGAGCAAGCCCAACATGAACTATGACAAGCTGAGCCGTGCGTTGCGCTACTACTATGACAAAAACATCATGACCAAGGTGCACGGCAAGCGCTACGCCTACAAGTTTGATTTCCACGGCATCGCTCAGGCCCTGCAGCCGCACCCCACCGAGTCCTCCATGTATAAGTACCCCTCGGACCTGGCCTATGTGCCTTCCTACCACGCCCACCAGCAGAAGGTCAACTTTGTATCCCCACACCCTCCATCCATGCCTGTCACTTCCTCCAACTTCTTTGGACCCACTGCTCCGTACTGGAGCTCACCCACTGCAGGCATCTATCCCAACCCAAACGTTCCCCGCCATCCTAACACCCATGTGCCATCACACCTCGGTAGTTACTACTAAACAACTCTCTGTCTGTCCATACAACTCCTTTTTAAAAAATGTCCTTACCCTCCCCAACACATTCCACAATTGCTGACCTGCACTCCAAATGATGCTGAACCAATGAAGACTTTGTTGAAAGAGAATATTTTCCATATGAAGAAATGTTTCCTCCTGAATGAAGGATGGTTAAATTGAAGGATTTTTTTTTTATTATTATTGTAAGAATCTATAAACAACTGGATGCTATGGTCCAAAAATGGAATACTACTTACCTTTACAAGACTAGTGTCTGTTTTTTTTAAATGTTTTTCAGATATGAATCTGAGTTTCCTGTGCCTTCTCTTTCATTGTTCACCAGAAATACACCACTAGGTGTTCCTAACCCAAAGCCTTTCCAACCCAAAGCCTGAGGCCAGGGTGAACAACTCAAGTCTGTCTGCCTCTTTGCAATACAACCGTGCCAGACATGGGCCTAATATTTATGGGTCTCAATCTACATCCTCAGTACATTATGTACATAACGCTTTAAAGCATCTGTTTTTTTTCCCGCTTGTCTACAGCCTTGTTGGGATTTCTTATTCCCACGACGTCCAGCCGTCTGTTTCCACTGTCTCTGTCTGCTTGTCTGTCCAACTGCATCTTTTTATGTGTGTGTGGAGAGTCTTCTGAAATTCGCTGGACAAGGAGAAGCTCTCGAAGAGATGGACTTTTCTCAGCACTGAATGAAATGTGGCAACTGGAAATATGCCATTCACATTTTAATTTATCCTCCAAACTGGAAGGCTAGAGAAGAGTTAAATGCCAGTGAAGGAAGCGCTGTATTTTTTGCTGACCTGGGTCAACCTAGTTACTGAAAATGCTCTCTGTGTGTTGTGTGTGTAGTTCAAGGTGGCTGATGTATACAGTTGACTCCACTGTGCTGGGGATGCTGGGGCAAGATGTAATTGAAGTAATTTGCAAGAATAATTCAACCCAGGTCAGATGTTTTTTTTCTTTCAGGGGGCCACACACTAGGCTATTAAATTTGTTGCCATGTTGTTGCCTTCCAGCCATGCCATTTCCAGATGTTTTGTTGCTCGACCGTGTCAGTATTAATGTGAATGTCTTCTGGTTTGTGAAACACGTGTAAAAGGGATACCCTGCAGCAAAATCAAAATTTGTCAGATGTTGTTCTTTTGTGAAATCAGGATAAGAACACCCTTTATTTGTAACTACCGGTTTGCTGCTCACATCTAAATCTGAGACAAAAAAGGCCCTTTTTTTCCAGAAGTGAGGATTTAGATGTCAACAACATCATAAGTTTTTTTTTTTTTTTTATCTTTTTTTTTTTTTTTTTTATCGTAAGAGGCTAACAGTGCCATAAGTGCGTCTTTTTAAAGTATGTGTTATAAAGATAAATATATCCCTTACACTGCTTTAACTGCTGATTATATCATGTTTTTCTATTCATTGGACAAAAACTGCATTACATGATAAAAATGCATAATTGGATACATATTTACTAAAAATCTGACAACTTTTGATTTTGTAGTGAACTCTTGACAGTGAAGGCTGCCACACGGTCTCCTTCCTCTCTTCAGGCCAGTCAGTACCGTACAGGTCAGTACAGAGTAGAGGCTTTGCAGTAAATCCTGTTTATAGACAGTCAAGTTGCATTTTACCAGGGCTGGATCCTAGTTTTACGAGCAGCATGTGTATTTGAATGTTAGTTTGTCACTGATCTTAAGCCCAGCCAAATGCACATGAATCTCAAGTCAGGATTTCATTATGTCAAAACATATCCATCTTCAGGTGTTCATGGCTGCAAATGTATTCCTTTTTGGAAATAAATTACTTAGGACTAAGTAGTTTATCAGAGAACAAAAACCAGCAAAGTATGACAAGATTTAACAAAGAAATCCTCAGATTCGCAAACGCTGTGCGTTTGTCAGACCTATTTTGTATTATTTTATAAGCATCAGACAACTAGGCATTAAAGCAACTTACTGTATAAATTATGCAGAGTTATTTTCATATGTGACACAGTATAAAAAGTCAAGAGAATTAATACGAGTTGACCTCGGTCAAAAAATGCAAAAGTCCATTTCTGCTAAGTAGTTTGTTCAGCATTTTAAGCATTTTTTTTTATATCTGTACATTTGGGCAATACATGTTACAATTTTTGTTTTCTTGTAATTGTTATTATGAGTTCTGAAATTTGGTTGGAACATCCTAAGTGACCTAATGTACAGAAAGTATTTTCTTTCTTTTCCAAAACTCAAATATCCTGCTTGAAACATTAACCAATAGCCAGGGATTCCTTTACTCTATTATGCAACATGTGTTCATGATGGATCTTTTCCATCGTGAACACCCTTTTTTATGCCAAAAAGCCCTGGGATCGGTTGCTTTTTCTGTTTAGTCAAGAACTTCAGGTATTGTATGCAAATTAATACAAACATTATTGCGATTCAAAACCGGCCTCTCCTGAAAATGTACAGCTTTACAGAACAAATACAGAGGAGATGTGTTGTTTGCAGCATCAAGGAATTATTCTAATGAACCCTTAACTTTCATGTTTCACAAGCATTATTGAAAAGGATCTGTGCTACTTCCTATATGCAATGTATTTTGGATATCGAAAATATATATATAAAATATATGTGTATAATTTTACAATTAACCAATGTATTATTTTTATTGTCATTCCTGCAATGTATGAAGTAATACCTTTTGAAAAAGGGCTTTTGTATAGGAAATGTGACAAAATAAATGTTTTTACCTCTCAAGTCTTCTTCTGTTGCCTGCCTGTGGTTTCACTAGAGCAGATGGATTGGGATTGGGTCATTTTAAATACGCAGATACATGCACAAGCTGAAGTTAGTGAGCTACTTGCACCACAACTTACACTTTACTGTGCTCCTTTCTCTATGATTATCTATAGAACATGCGTTCCCGACACTGAGGTGTATCCCTTTTTTCATTTGATTAATAGGACCATAAAGCTGCGTTACAGTTTGTAGATAACAACTTAATCTTGATCTCAGGCTTATTATCTGATACAAATTTAATCAAATGTACGCACAAACCAACCATGAAATGTACAGAGGATAGCTTTGTCCCATACGGAGAGACACTGAGTTGCTGGTTGATAAGTACACCACTTTCAGACACAAAAAGCTTGTATTTAAGTCTTTGGTTTGTGGGGATGTTGAGTTGTATTTCATTATTCTCAAAAGTGTATCCTATATTTTACTCACCCCAATGGTGCTGGATTATTGATCAGCAACAAATGTATAATTCAAGCATCATTCAGTTTAAAAGACAGTGTTGAAAGAGAATGCGAAGAGGATGAGGCAGTCTTTTTTTTATAAAGAACCCAACATGTTGCCATGATGAAGAGCTTGATTTTATTATTGTGAAAATAATGCTGGACTTTGTTGACTACCATTCAAGTCCTATCAGGTGTTGAATCGTTAGATCAATCAAGCTGGAAGCAAGACGGTAGGTGAAAGAGAGTTTGGTACTACAGTGTATCAAATTGAAAGTCTTGTGAGTTTTTAACTCTTTATGTCATTTAATTCTCTGCTTGAACACATCTTTAAATTACAGGTGTCCGTAATTTAACAACCAGTGTGTATGGTGTCTGTGTTAAGAAACAGCTTAGCTCTGCATATTTCTCTATTGGTATGCATGAACCATGAAGACCACTGACTGTGGCTCAGTTGGTAGAGTTGTTGTCTCTCAACCAGAAGGCAAGACACTTAACCCCAAATTACTCTCGCTGCTTTGTATGTGGTGTATGAACTAGTTATTTCTGATGGTTTCGCTATACAGAGCATGTGAATGGGTGTGAATGGGTATCGTAGCATAGCATGTGAATGGGTAGCATAGCATGTGAATGGGTAGGTGTGACATGTGGTTTTAAAGTGCTTTGAGTTGTTAGAAGACTAGAAATACCATATATATGCTTCAAAAAACAACAGTCAGAAATGGTCAACGGGCAGTTGATGTGAAACACATTTTTTCTCCGGGGCAATGAGGCAATATAATTAAATGATTTTTCCCTTGTCCTGCTTCTCTCTCCGTCCCCTTTTCAGGAATGTCCCTGTTTGCAAACACACATCAATGAGAGTACATTATATGAAGTTCATCACAGGGTTCAGTGGGAGGTTTGCCTGAAGAAAAAACCTGATGAAGCTGCATGCTAGTATAAAGTATGCTGTATTTCTTTAAGTAGAGAATTCTAGTGTCATGTTCAGATCCTGCAGGCAAAAGAAACAGCAGGCAGCCTCTCTTATCTCCTAAACACTTACACTCTGCTGTGTTTGGATCCTTATTTGCTGTCACAACTTGACTTTGTTTATGGATAAAGAGACATCTGATAGGGGTTGTTACCTGGCATTATGTTGCTGTGACATTTTTAATCATAGCCCTTATTTGAAACATACATGGTGTCATTCAGACAGAGCCAGGATAAAACTACAAAACTTTTTTTTTCTTCAAAAATAGCCTTTATTTCATTGTATTTTTACCCTGAGACCAGATACAAAATAAACACTCTAAAACATTTCAGATTTGTATACTATACAAAGTGATTTATTCAGCAATATATTCAATGTTTCTTGACATTTTTTGTTCACTTTCAATGTCTTCACTGAAGAAGAATTCCCACAACATGATCATCCATTCTTTGAAAAGTGTGCCCAAGAGCCCAACCCTTCTCTAGTGCCTCAATGTCTGAATAGTAAAGCATACTTAAATGGTTCAAGTCCAGGTATCTCCTGGAATACAGCAGCTTACAGTAGTAAGTATGAATAAAATAATAATATCTTTTCACATTAATGACAATTGCATGGCTCCAAACACTACTCTTTCAAGTGACTTTTTGATATATACACAGTATAAAACATTTGCTTTTTTGTTGTTGTTGTTTTTTTGTGCTTCTCCTTTGTCAGATAGTCAAATGTGACAGACTGTAGGTAAATTATAACAACTAACCCTCTTTTTTTGTGAGTTATTTGGAAAACTTTCATTTTCTTGATTTGTAGCCTAACCACCTTGCATGACCTGGACTCTCTTTTGAAAACAGGTTTTTGGTCAGCACACAGTGACAGGTGTGGTTTGATATACAAATAGTCCACAATAACTGTCCTGCCACACAGACGTCTTTCTTATCTGTGTTAAACACAATAGAATGACAAATAAGGAGGATTTCAGGTATTGAAATGCTAAACAATGGGCTGCCTGCGATTAGGTAATCCCAGCTGACCCCAGCAGCTGTTAGTCCTTTTGGAGTCTTGATGAGTTGTTCAATGAGAGGGTTAAGGCCTCTTACTGTAGAGAGTCTCAGTTTTTACTGTTCATTGAATTATATGCATCTCCTTACATCTTTGTGAGAGTAGTGGGATCATTCATATCAATCACCTCAAAGCCCGGGTTGTCATTTCCATCTCTGGAGTGATGATGGTGACCCTTGATATTGTGAAAACAGTAGGGACAGTGTGCGGTGGCCACTGGCACCACCTTGGAGAAGTTGGAGAAATCAACTCTGTACTTGCCCTCCTTGCTTCTGGAGATGATGGGCAGGAAGTTGTAGCCCCACATGATCTCCTGAGGAATAAAGGAGGTCCGGACTTGGCAGGAGGAGCTGGTGGACTCTGCAGTGCCGTCCAGAAAGACGACAAGCTCAAACTCTTGTTTGTTGAGCGTGTCCACTGCCATCTCAAAGAAGGGGCTGCTCTTGTCGATGACGTGGTAGAGCGTTAGAGGACATATGAAGAAGAGATTGTCCTTCCCAGCGTCCATCATAAAGTCAATGTTCACCTGGTCCATGATAATCGTCTCCCCGTCTGGTGTTATCGTCGTTCTCAACAGTTTGCCATAGATCTGGCTTCCGATCATCAGTGTCTTGCGCAGGTTGGCAACTCTGATGGACAGGCATAGAGTACCGTTTTTGGGGCTAATGACCGCCATATCACTAAATGTGATGGTCTTGGCTCTCTTTTTGGGCGAAGAGATTTTGGACAGGATGACTCCACACATGAAACAGTTGATGATTGCACCGACGAGAGACTGGATGATGATGAGGGCAACGGCCCCCGGGCAGAGAGGGGTCAGCGCTCTGCCACCATAACCGATGGTTGTTTGGGTTTCAAGGGAGTAGAGAAATGCCGTGGTGAGTCCCACAACATTATAAACACATGGAGTGTGGTCATTTTGAGGGTTTTGCCACTCCAGGTCTCCATTATTGCGGGCGATCCAGTACCACAGGAGGCCAAAAATGAACCAGCTCAGGGTGAAAGAGGCGATGAAGAGGAAGAGGACAAAACGCCACCGGATCTCCACAAAGGTGGTCCAGAAGTCAGCCAGGAAGGCAAAGTGTCTGCTGTACTTGAAGTTTCCGTATTCAATGTTGCAGCGGCCATCTTTAGTCACTAGCCTGGCTCTGCGACTTTTCCGCTCCACCAGATAGTCCTGGATACGTTTGTTAAAATATCCCAACATTTTGTATGACCTAGAAAACATAAAAAATTATATTATAAATATCTATTAAAAACAGCAACTTAATACAAAATAGAAAACCCCTTATCCAGCAATTAAGTGGACAGTCACTTGTGCATTCATTAAAAGAATGGCTGTACGGATTTAATGCAAACTTTAAGAAAACATTCCATGTAAACTGTGCTGTACTTTTGAAACAATAAAACTTTTACTTGATCTGACCTTGGAAAAAAGTCCCACTGCTGTTTTAAAACTCTTTAACTGGCTATAATCATTAGTAGAAGCAACACTCTGGTAAAGACATGAAATTATTGAGGAACAAAGTCTCCACTCAAGTGCAACTCGTAAGTTCTCCAAATAAACCAAATACCGGTTAATTAGTTTCCATTTGATCCCATGCAAGTGTCTCAACACAAGAATCAGCTTTGTTTGCTTGGTTTTAATGCTGCAAAAATAAACATTGCATTTAAAAAAAACTGGACGAACCCAGCCAGAAGACCAGTTACTCACAGTCATAACAATCTTACACTGTGTTCAAGCCACTGAGTTCTCATAAGTCAGCCACTTGATGGATGGCAACTGGCAGCTTTGGCTGTACAGAGGTTTCCAAATAAGTATTGCCTCTGTGCTTGCCAAGTCATGCAAACTACCCATTTGGCTCATTGCGTGCTAGTTAGTGAGTGTAAAGTAGTACAAAACGATCAGTACAGTGACTTTATGTTTTTGTTTTCAACCCCTCAAAACTCACATCCAGTTATTTTGGCAGAAGAAATCTGATAATCACACTGTGTGGCTTGTTTGCAGGCTTAAAATCTGTCATAGTTAAACCCAGCCATTCCATACCTTATCATTATGTCAGCATGTTTTCCATAGGGCAACACGATATGTGCTGGGATAATTTCAGGTATACTAATTGAACGTATGACAAGCTACTCTAAATTGTTGCTTTGCATTAGAAAACTAATGCCTCCATTAAAGTAAATGGTATTTGTGAAGAAAGTTATATCTGAAGAGGATCCACAACAGAATGGACACTATAAGCTTTGAACATAAAAGGGCTGTGAAGTCTCGCCATAGCATGTCAACATTAAAACCGGATTGATATACATTTTAGTAATCTATATGCAGAGGCTCCAAATGACAAGCTTAAAAAAAAAAAAACGTTTCTCTTGTGAATCTTGTTTACACAGACCTGTTGAGAATGCCATCAATGCCGATCATGGGTTATGAGTATTAAGCATTTTTTTTGTAGATGTTATTGTCAAGCTTTTCTGACAAGAAAAGAAAGCATCCATCCCCAACTATCCTGAAGTTACAGAGAGTACAAATCAAACATACTTCATAGGAAACCACAGCACACAAAGCACAGCAGCATCAATTCCATGCAATGTCCACATATTGGCATGTTGACATCCTACATTGCCTGTTCTTTAGAATCCTAATAGACATTGGCAGGACCCTGAATCTGAAACTGTGGGGGAAGAATGTGATTGGATCAGACACGATTCTCTGTGTATGCTTGATAATAGTCTGCTCATAGATTATTTAAAGGGACGGCTATTGTTTTAACAAAGAAGTCTGTACGAGGCAAGTTATCTGAACAATGAACAGACAAGGGACCATACCAAGCTACTTTCTTGTATCTTATATTACAATGTAACCTGCATGATAAAATAGTAATGTAAACTTCTTCTCAACTACATAGACCTGAAGAGTCTGCTTTCACCTCCAAGTCATGAAAAATAGTTTAAAGCTGCGATGCTCTTCTGGGTATCTCTTCAGTATGAAGCGTCTTAAGCAGAATTATTTGGAAATTTGAAAATGTAAACCTCAGTTAAGCTTTTGTCCATTTAATTTTCCATGAAGTAGAGAATCAACTGCAACGAGTAAGCTGCATCTGGTTAATGAATTACCAGTAAGGTGATCAACAATTGATTGCATTAACATTATCATTGCATCTTTCTTCCTTTACATTTGCAACTATTTCTGTCATTCTAGTATTGGTAAATGGATATCTCCCATCACAACTTGCATCATTAAGTTGCTTGTGAATGTTACATTATGTTAGCTACAGCAGGATTTAGTGTCACTCTGAATGGCAATAATAAAGAAATAATTCAATTATATTATATAGACTTTTAGTAAAGGTTTGTTTATGTCGAGATGTAAAAAAAAAAGATACATGGAGTTTTTCAGAGATTAAGAAGAAATGTTTTGAAACCAATTTCTTTTCCAGCTCCTTTATTTTTTTTTTACATTTGTATATTAGTCTCTGAAAATTCTGATTTCTTTTTTGTATCTGTATCTGAGCCATTCACACCAAATTGTTACTAAATATGCCCATCCTGATGTCAATGTGCCAGAGCTTAAAATGAAAATTTGTTAACATCAAAGTAAACTTTCCTTTGTCCAAACTCACCTCTGATATTGGAAGTTAAAGTGGTGTGTTCCTCCAGAGGTAAATGAATGACAAATTCCAGCTTGGCCCGTCTGTATCCTACTTGTTCAATGAGAGCGTAGGTGAGTCCTCCTATGTGTCTGCTTACCAACACCTGTGTGCATTTATATAGACCTGTTTGAGTGTGCTGGAATCAGCCAGGTGATGTTTACGCCCACAGACACATCAAGTACCCCTCCGCCCCCAAACAAACTCACACACACACACAAACACACATACATAAGCGCACACACCCCCCCCCCCCCCCCCCCCCCCCCTCCCCCCCCCGGCTCTAATAAGTTGTTTAGCCCACAGATGCCTGGCACCAAGGGCCAAGCTGACCTCTATCCACCACATTCCCAGTCTACTGCAGTCTATGAAAGCTCCTTATGAACTAGTAGTTCTTTCTCTTAGTTTGTGATTTATGGATCAAAGGTTAGTCATACTTGATTTGGACCCTCAAGAAAAAAAAATGCCACTGACTGTTTACAATGTAAAAAAGCAAAAAACCTGTATGTGCTGTTTCTGTGTGTGGTTCTGGTTCTCTGTGTCTCAATGACAAACAGACTCTGTTGGCATTATTTACGATAGACACACGCAAACCATTTCATTATCACGATGAAAACTCTGAGGAATTACTATTTGTTTGCACTTTTAGGCACAATTAGATGCCATAAAATATCCAAAAGAAATATTAGAAAACATCTGGAAAAGGGACAACACTTCCACAGCTATTCCTCACCTGATGTGAAATGTTTAGATTATCATGTGATCCCTGATATAGGCCTACTTTATGTTTTAATGACTGTGGGATATTCCTTTTTTTGTGCTATGTATAATAATTTAACACATCTGGTATTTGCACAATGGCGTCACATTGAACCCAGCATCAGAGCTTCACGGCTCTCTTCCTCCAATAAACAACTACACAGGATGATATATGAATAAATATGGAGGCCATAGAGCATGAAAGGGTGATGGAGTGAGTTGAGAAGCTGCATAGATGAAAAAGAAGATGCTCCAGATACATAGCTCTCTGGGGGTCAGCCAGGAACCAAATGAGTTCAGGAGCTGGAGGTGTTTTTAATGCTCAGGGGAGACGGGTTGCGAATCTCAAAGGGAGTAGTTTTTCAACTCTATTGTTGCGAGTAAAGTGACGGAAAAAGCCGCTGTATTACCTTACATGCCGCAGAGTGTGTATTCTATTGATGACCACAATACATTGCTGTTGATACACAACAGGATTAACCTTGCCTGTATTCTTTTAAATCCATGCTATTGTTATATGATGACAAGCATTTTCTGTATAAGCCTTTTTTATTCAACAAGTGATTTGCCTGTTTGTTAAATCAATTCCCTGGTTGCTAATCCCTTTTATTTCTGACAAAGGGCCAGAGTATAGCGACCAGACCACATGGCTGCACTGATTGTTGGGCTGGTTTAGCAACTTAAGAACTGTGGAGGCTACATTTGATTGATAACAATGCTATCCGGGACAATTCATGCCAAAGAATAAATGGCACATCAATCACAGGTTGGCCCCCTTGATATGGAGATGCTGTTGCCATATTAGAATTATTAACACAACCTACTCTCAGGACTCATGAAGTGTGTGTGCGTGTGTGATTTTATCAAACTCATATTCTGAAATATAGTGATCTTGCTGGCTATTGATGTCACTGTGAGATCAACAGGCCTATAAACAGTAGAAAGAAAAAAACAAATAACACAAAAGGTTATGTTGACACTAAATGAGAAACAAAAAAATTGAAAAAACCTAGGATTGGAAAGAACATTTAATGAGTTAAACCCTCAATTTGATTTTTATTATTTGTATTTGTTTTATTTTATTGCCCCCCGGTGGTGGATAGCACCAAACTCCATTCAATCTGCAGAGTCCCTTTGAACCTTTAAGAAAAAGCTAAAGACCCAGCTCTCATGAATACCTACGACCTTAATAACGATGATGATGGTCTCAATATTATTGATGACGATGGTTTTTGTTTGATAATGACGACTTTTAAGATGGTCTCTATACTGATTAGATCTCTCAAGAACACAAAGCCAAAGTGCAGTATCTGCACTTTTTGTGAATTTCACTTTTTGGCACAAATTGTAAGTGCAGTATCTGCTCCTCAATCTGTGAGAGTTTCGTAGTTCTACTGCTTTATTTCCCAGATATATATATATTTTTTTGTTATGCAGTATCTGTAAAATACACTGAGAAACCAAAGCAAACTGCAGGAAGTGACACTTACTGCAGCTTGCCTTGGTTTCACCATGAAGAAGGTGTCAGATACTGCAGTTTGCCTTTGTTTTAGGACCAACCAAGATAAGGCTCATAACCAGGGCACTCAATGTAAACGCACTCAATTTTTTATCGGAACTGGGGAGGTTATTTACAGCACTCATGTAATGGGTAAAAATATGCAGAAAAGGGAGATTGTAAAGCAAAGATGTGAAAATGTTTCAATTATTTTTGATACTACATGTTTAAAATGATTCAATCACTCTTATGATACTAGCCAAAAGTAGCCTACCTGAACTAAAAATAAATCTACAGATC